CAATGCAGCACAGCCAGGTTGCATACACCATTTATTAAAAAACCATCTTTTTTATATTGTACTAACAAGTTGGAAAGTCCCTGTGAATGTTCTTTTGCTAGTTCATTGCTAACTATGTAGATGAGATGCACATTCATCTATGGTCTTTAATTTCTTCTATTTCTCACACGTGTACTTACTTTACTTCTCCAGCAATCATTTGGGTTAAAGCAACCATTTCTTTAATAAATACTACCTTTCTGAGGCTGAGAGAGTCATCAAGGCACTTCTGGGATCATATCCCATAACAATCACTTTGTGAGTTCCAGAAGTCAGTGACCATCCCTTGGTTTCATCAAAATGCACATGCACAATGTTATGTTTACTGTCATAGAAAGTAGCTGTGGGTGCATGTTCTTTATCTGTGACGGCCTCCTGACAGCTGTCACAGACCCCACTTCAAACTTGAAGCCCATCATGGGGATGGAGGAGCGCTGGGAGCTGCACTTGTGGCAATGGTTCTGTCTTAGGCCAATTTTCTTATTGTCCACATTTGCTTGAAGTTCCAGAAAACAGTAGATCAGACTTTTGGCAGGAATCACTGTCCAATTCAGCGGTCCTCTGCCACTCTACAGTGATGTTCCAGATGACAATGCCACTGTCACCACCACAGGAAATGAGCTGCTGTGTGCGTTGTGCATAGGAGAGGGCCTGGACCTTGTCACTGTGTCCTTAGAGTTCGACAGTTGTTCCTTTCCTCCCACCAACGGTCCACATGATGACAGCTTGGTGGAACTGCCTAAGCACAATACCCACCAGGCTAGGTCCTAACAGAGAGCAGTCACCCCACCTGTGTGTCCTCTTAACGTCGTGATCAATGTGCAGTTTTCTTGCTCCTGTGTAAGGATTGTCACTTGGCCTGAGTGGTCACCAATAAACATGCTGAGTTTCAATGTCAAATTGCAGGTCTGAGGCCAATGGCACTAGTGTGATAACCTCTCAGATGCTAACCACTCTCGGAGCAATGTGAGGCAAACTGTCCTATCCCTGCTCAGCACCCACTCCAACTCGAAGACAAACAGATCATCATAACTCTGCTTTGATGTGCTTGACAGCTTTTCACAGGAGTCATTCTGTTATAGACTTCGGACAAAATAAACTCTGAGACTGTACCATTGTCTAGACCTATGAACAGTCTTGTTTCCAGGTTAAAAGACATGCGTGAATATGGAGAAGGCATTGCATGGTATATGCTTGGGCAATACTGTCCATTGTCTCTTTCTAACCAAACATGAACTGTCCTATCTTCTGACACACTGATGCCCTCCTCTTTGGGAATAATCACAGCCATGTTCACCACCTCCTGGAACCCCTCGACCTGCTGCAACAGGATGGTCCTGCAGGTCAGCGGCATAGGCTGGATCTCCACCGCCATCACAGGAGGGGGCATACTGAGGGTGCCTTGGCCAAGAGTGCCATAGGACCGGGTTGATGAGATCACTCGAGCATGAGCAGAGGTAGGAGTGCTGGTTGGCCAGAATGGGAAGCTGCGTGCTGGAGATCATAGCCTAGTTACCACTCCCAGGAGCAAATCTTTAATCTCTGCTTCGAGTACCAAAACCATCACCACCCAAGCTGCAACCAGGCACTGCAGGCCGGGGCGGGGGGGTGGGGGTCACTGCTGTCTTATAAGTTGAGACTCGTATAAATGCTGCTTAGTCTGATAATGTTGCTATATAGCTTATTCTTTTAGCATATTTCACTATAGAAAAAACATAATGCCTTGTCATCCCACTTGATAAAATAATCCATATTCCATTGTGCCACTAAAGAATAATACCAGAAGTACATTCTTTCTGTTCAGATATAATGAGAATTCATTGGTCGTACAAGAAAGCCCTCATATAGTGACACACATGGCACTCAAAACACCAATTAACTATAATTAATACTGTGCAGCAGTATGAAGCAATGAGTGCCATATATGTTCTCTGTTGCAACCATTCAATTCATCTGTAGTAGCACAAAAGCAATCATAGAAAATACATATTGAGTATAGCAATGTTCTGATAAGTCTTATTTATGAAATGTGAATCTTGTATAATTTCGTGTCTTCATATATACCTAATAATTTTTTTTCTTATTTTCTTTGTTTTTTTTTTTCCATAATTTTATTGAGAAACAAATAGTAATGAGACAGTTTCAAACCAAATTGGCAGGACAGTTTCAATAATTAACATTGCATACATTATTCCTAGTGGTTAATTGCTGTACAAGATGCTGTATCTAATAATTAAAAATTAAAAAATACTTTTTAGCTCATGAGTTATACAGAAACTCAATGAGCCAAATTTAGCCTACTGGTTTGTAGTTTGCCAAACCCTACTGTAATGAGGAAGAGACTTTCCTCGTAGGTCTTAAGTGAAAGCCTCTCTCTTCCTACATTTAGTTTACTGAACCTAAAAGGAGAAGAGGTTAACTCCACTGCTATCTCTATGTCCCCATCCCTAAATCTGCAAGATCTGATTTTTATTATATTGGATTATATCTCCTTGTACCTCTCACTGATATAATCTACTGACTCTTAACATCATCATATCTTATTCTAGACAATGTTCTCGATTTTCATCTCTCCCATATCCTGTTTTAATTTTTAGTGATTTTCATATAACCACCGGTAACACTTAAAAAAAAAAACAACAAAAAAAAAAACACCCTCAGCTTCTCAAAATATTTACTTCTTTCCTTCAGTGATTTGCACCTCTATCTTTCCCTGACATTTCCATGGTGACAGAGCAGACCTCGTTATCACCAGCAATTATCACCTTCCTATATTTTCAATTTAAAACTTTCCACACATTATGCATTTTCTTAGCCTTCATGCTCAGTCACACTAACATCTTTTTCCATGTATTTTTAATGATAAACAAAAACTTACAAATTATACACATTAATGGGGTAATAAGATGCTTCAATTCATGTATATATTGTGTAACATTTCAATTGGTTAAATGTATCCACTTCTTTTTTTTTTTTTAATGTATCCACTTCTTCAAACATTATCATTTCTTTATGGTAAAAACAGTCAATATACCCACTACTGTCTTTTAACAACAATCTTAAATTCCATCAGGCCATCCTATCTATTACTGTCCTCCCTGCAGTGATTACCGCTCTTTACTCTCTACTCAGCTTAAACTGCACAATTATACTCACTCTCTTGTATACACCTTAATGCCTTCAGCTATTTTCTACTTCATTTAGTTTGGCAAAACCACATAGTTAAATACAACTCTCCAAATAATCTGTATCAGCACTCATGCAGCTGAGTATGTGAGGATGAATACATAAAACTGTATTGACTGATTCTATTTTTAATTCAAAAATCACAAAAATTAAGGTGGCCCTTAATTCTGCATAGCAGTCATATAGTTCCCTATCCATGTTCTCATTCTCCTACGTACCACATTTCATTGTCTTTTTTTTCATACTCACAACTCCTACTGATCCTCAAGCATGACTAATGTTCTTGTTGGTTACTACACTAAAACAAATGAAACTTTAGGAAAACTGCTACCAAATTTATACTTACGTTTTCATTATGTACACATACATTTGATCTTTGCAGCTTTCACAACAGACTACACGTATCTTCAGTCAACCCAACCACTTATATAATGGATGTCATTCTTTTTCACTAGATCAAGACCATTCATTACTCAGAAATTATCCTCTTTTTCTCTTGCATCACTAAAATTTCCTCTAAATTGAATTGTGTATCAAGCTATTTTCCTAAATTTTTTTCCTGATCTTATTTCTGTCAACAGAATTGAGTAATTACATTACTCATATTTCCACTGCAGCAGAAATGCTCAAAAGTTGTTTATACTGTCTGTTCCTAAAGTTTCCTCCACATTTCCAATTAAGGTGAACTTTGGCTCTTCCTTGAGGCTTAAGCAGGACTACTGCAAGTTCAAGGCCAGCCTAGAGGACATAGTGAGTTTGAGGCTAACTTGAACTGCATAGTGAAACACTGTCTCAAAAACAAACTTGAGAGAGAACATCCAAACCAACCTGACCCAATTGTGTCTAGGTGTATTGTTTATAAACAGATTAATAAAGAAAGTAGAGGAGGATTTTCTGGTCTAGAGCTTATTATTAATTCTTGAAGAATTTGAAACTGTTTAAGTACATTACACTTGATAAATATAAAAATTCAAAAAGTTTTTAGAACAAAACATCTTTAAACCTTAAATATGAAACAGCTTTCATGAGGAAAAGTTCTTTTATCTTAGGAAGATTTTCCATATGTAATGTATGTTTACCTGCAGATTTTGAAATACAATTGTTAACTCATTCACAAAAGAACAAGAAGGAATGAATACATTATTTGAATAATATATATATTTACTTTTTTATATAGTTTTTGTTATTTTCTCTCCCTTCCTCTCTCCCTCCCCCTTCCCTCACTCCCTCACCCCTCCGTCCCTGCGCCCAACCCTCAGGACTTTGTGCTTGCCAGACAGGCGCTTCTGCCATTGGAGTTATCACTCCAGTCCCTTCTTCTTTCACATTTACTACACAAGCACTTTATTACCACTTATAGTTCTAGTTTGTTCGTTTGTTCATTCATTCTTTTTTCCTGCCCTCCATCTTTCCTTCCTGCTCTCCCTTTCTTTCCCTCTCTCTCTTGTTAGTTGCCCAGGCTTGCCTTCAATTCATGACCTTCCTGCCTCAGCATCCTGAGAAGCTGTAATATCAAACATGTGCCACCATGTTTGGCTTTCTGGATTTTAAAAACATACTTGTTAAATATTTTTCATTCCCATCTCTGCAAAATACTGTAGATTCTCTAGGTACCAAACTGACTAATAATAAAATTTCTTTTACAATTTCCATTAATAATATGTATGAATTATTAATGAAATATACAAAAAGTAGATGAAAAAATGGGAGGGCCTGAGCTATCTAAATCAGGAAATAGTTATATGCAGTCTGTCATCAACCACCACAAAACTTACATCTGCTTAAAAAGTTGTCAATATTTTTGTTTTTTCGTAAGGCAGGAAAATCCAAATCATACACCAAAGCATCCAATCCATCCTAAAGAAAGAAAGAAAGAGTTTTCTGAATTACATTAAAACACTTTCATTTTTAAAAAAATACAACATACTTTAATATTTAATTTCCCCTCACTTGTATAGCTTGTGTCCACTTAATATCCTGCATAAAGTTACACAAGTATTAAGAGAAGAAAGGGTTTTTTTTTAAAGTTTTACACATAGACTTTTCACCTTTTAAATCTGCCAGGCATGGGATCAGGAAATCAACACAGACTGTGTGCAAGTGTTTCAATTCATGCACTTTTCACTTCCTAATAACATGAAATTTCACATTTTGCTTCCTCTTACTAACGTATGTATCTTCATTTCTTACATACTCACTAAAAACCTACAGTACATTCTAGTACAACCAATGAAGTGAACATGTAAATATTACCTAAGAAGTAAGTACAGGGCTATGGGATGGTATACTACACAGTGTTGAAACGGAGTGGCATCTATTCAAACACTACCATGCCACATGGCAGAAGCAAGACATTCAGGTAATCCTGAATTATCTTCATTACTACAGTGTCACTCTTTGGTAGATATGGATTATATAACTGGACAATACTAAGGAGAAAAATAACTTTAATAATTAATAACATAATTCCAGATTTTTCAAAAGACTTAAAACTTGGGGGAAGAGGAGGGTCGCATAACTCCCAAGCAACTGCATTCCAAAGAAAAAAGAATCTAAATGTTACTGTTGGGAAAGCAATTCACATCTTTCTGAACCCCAAGTGCCTACCTATAACTCAACAGATTTGTGAGAAGTGAGGTGTTACGTATTTGCTCTCAATAGTCCTACTTCTATTTCTATAACTGACATTTGAAAACTACAAATTAGTCTCCCTAGAGATAAGAATGACGTAAACAAAAAATAGGCATTTTAATTATATGATCACAAAACCTTAAGAATAAATTTTAGGGGGGCCGGGGAGATGGCTCAGTGGAATATGCGCTTCCCTGGCAAGCGCAAGGACCTGAGTTCAATCCCCGGTTCTGCAAAAAAAAAAAAAAAGAATAAATTTTAGGTCATGACATTAATATCTTCCCTAATGTGCCCAATCATAGCATTTGACAATGTATTTGTTATTTAAAAAAAAAAAAAAAAAAAACCCTAGCTGCCTCTATTAACTACCTATCACCACTAGGTATTTGGATCTGTTACCATGTTTAATTTATAGCAGTATGAGTTGTTCTGTTTTCCATATTGTCTGTTAGCAAAAATTATGTTTTTTATTAGATAAATAAAATTATATTCTTTAAGCATAACCTAAAGCATATAGATGCCAACTGAAGCTGTCAAGGGAGAGTGAGTGAAATAGGGAAGTGGAGAATGATTTGGGCTTCTACCTTAAGGCAGTAAAGAAATCGCTGCACAACACAAGCAAAGCGTATGTCCAACCATAAGCTGAGGCAAGAAATCCTGACTTTTAGTCAATGCTCCGAAGCTCCATTAAGTAATAATACATAACACATCTGCCTTTTCTTAAAGTTTATGTTCTATCTGGTAAAAAGAGTCACCACTACAACAGAAGTACAAGGTATATAAGAGAAGGACCAATGAATTAGTCATTAATTCTTTGTTAACAACAGTTGAACAAAGGCAGTAAGTAGACCACTTACAATAGTTATATTTTAAAATAAGTTACAAAGAAGCATTTTTATATATGCATACAAAGACAGCCATAATTAAAAATGTAACACGCTATAAGACTCTGAAGTATCAACATTTCACACTTTTCAGCAGCACTGATAAGCAGAGAGGAGAGCCCCAGCTGTTATCTCATCAAGCTTAATCAAAATGAGAAGTAAAAAAAATTATTCAACTGAAGACCACCACAAACTTCAGTTTGGGGAATAGTTCTAAGCTACAAAAGTGTAGTTTTTGTAAAATATCATTTAAGATTAAATCCATTAGAAATAACACACTTATGTATTTATTTAATTTATTTGGTACTGGGGATTGAACTCAGGGCCTTGCACTTGCCAGTCAGGCACAACATGTTTACGTAAATGACATGAAAACATAAAGGCAGTAGGAAGGATGAAATGCCACCTACATATAAGAAACATCCATATTTCTTTTGCAAACTTTCAAACTCTAAGTGGTTATTCTTCTAAACCTAAGTCTTACTTTTGGAGAAGTCTGAATATGTGTTCACATTCATACAGGCGACTTTACCCCAAATCCAATGACTATGCTTGCATGACTGCAGCTTATGAAAAACAAATTACTTCTAAAATAAACTGAGTTTTGATACTGAAATTGTGTTATCAAATTTTAATGACAGAAAATAAACCATTTAAAGAATATATTTAGTACTTATGAATGTTTTCAATAATCACCCACTAGAGAAATTCTCAAAATTGAAAATGAAACAAAATTTCCTCAGGAAATTTGAAGAACCTGACACTAAATATTAGAATCTGTTTAACCAGTGTGACATTATTACATTCACATCAATCATTCTCAGAGCAATTACAGTTAAAAAAATTAAGTGATTCAAATTACTTAGAACACCCAACAACGGCTCTCCCAGTCAGTTACCAACTCTGCTTTTCCAGCCTCATTTTCTTTAACTGCGCACAGTGTGCTACACTAGCCACTTCCCAAGGAAGACTTGCTCATTCTCTTCCACTGCCTTTGCACCTGCTCTAGTCACCTGTATGAATGCGAACACATATTCAGACTTCCTCAAATATTCCTTACTTTGTGCTGCCTTCTCAAACACTGAGACAATGTTAACAATGGCCTTCTTTGTGCTCCCAGTTATATGAACTATTGTATAGAATACTACGCTGTATTTATTTATAAATCAGTGTCCTCTGCTGTAGGAAAGAGGAAAAAAATAAAATACTTCCTGACTCTGGAAGTTCAGAGGTAAGTAGAAAAAATAAATAAACCAAGTGTTATGAGTACACACTACATAAACAACGAACTCTGTAATCCTTTGGGGCCTCACAGAAGAGATAAATATGAACTCAATCTCCCCCCACTCTGAGACAGGGTCTTACTAAGCAGTTCAGGCTGGTCTTATACCCACTATGAGTCCAGGATGGCCTTGAACTCACAGCAATCCTCCTGCCAAAGCCTCCTAAGTGCTGGAGTTATAAGTGTGTGCTATCAGAACAGAATTTAGAAGGAATAAAGCAGAGGTGTGCCAAGGCAATCAAGCGAGAGGAAAAAAATCAGCATAAGAACAGAATTCTCTGGACTATGAAGGGTAGCAAATTTAGGAGACCAAGTTATGAAGTGGGCTAGGAAATATTAAAAGATATGGAAAAACCAGACTAAGAATTTGGGTAATTATCATCTTATATCCACTTGTAATCAATGGAATTTACAGAAAAGAGACTTACTTGACTTGTTTTTATTTTAGTAAATATTGGCAATGAAAATGCTAAGTGAGAATCAGAAGAGAGGGGGTGAAAGGGCAACAATTAGGAGGAGTTTGTACTACTATAACAAGAGGATGAAAGACTGAACTAAACTGAAGAGAGAAATAGGAAAGGAGCCCTAGAAGCAATTATGTGTAACTGAGAGAGGGACAGGAAGAACTTACAATGATTATATGATTGTGAGACCAATTTTACTATTTTTTTCTATTTCATATAACCACATAGCAACTTCCTTAACCAAGGCAGAGGCTATAATTTGGAAAGAAAAAATATGTATTTTGGATATAATGAATTTGAGGTCTCCAAGGGACATCATTTTATCGATAACTAGATGGCAGCTTAAAATATAAGTCTGACTTCAACAGAAATTGGGACTACCACATATCTGTGGGAGTCGTGAGAGCACCCTTAACCATGAGAACAGAAGCAGTTAGCCAAGGAGAACAAACAGGCAAAACGAAATAGAGCAAAGAATAAAACCCTGGAAAAAGCTGACATCTGGGAGGCAATCAGGCCAAAAATCTGCAGTGAGAACAAAAAAAGAGGGGAAGGAAAATTGAAGGGCATCCGGAATGCTGATAACTCTGAGAAGAACTTAACAGCATATGCAACAACTGAAAGGTCAAATGGAAGAATACAAAAGAAGTCAAGTTATTTGTAATTAAAGTGGCATTGATGACAGCTCCATAACAATGTGAATGATGTTAGTGAACTGTATACTTTTTTAGAAATACACAAAATGGTAAGTTTATTTATTTATTTTTTAAATGTGTTTGGTACAGGGTCTCACTATGCAGTTCGGATTCAGAGTGATCCTTCTATTTTCAGCCTCCCCAGTGCTGGATTACAAGCGTGTGCCACCACACCTGGACTTGGTGGCTGGCTCAGCGTGCCTGGGGGTACAGCCTGCATAGAATGTGGCACCAGGGATCCAACTCCATTCCCTGCACTTGCCTAAGTAGGCGCTTAAGTTTCCTAACTATCTCGCCAGCCCTAAAATGGTAAGTTTTATGTTACATATACTGCAGCATACTTTTATGTTACTACCAGATGTCAGCAAACTGGTAGACTAGAAGATCCAAGCTCTTCTTCCCTACAAACTCAGTTAAAGATCACAACAGATATAAACAACCAGAAGCTATTTCAGCCATTCTGTAGGAGCTCTGGAAAATGGAGTTTCATAGCAAATGAATCCAATTAAGTAAAAGCTATCCTCAAAGCAATAGAAAGAATTTGGCAACTTACTTGCTTTTGTCCCACCCTGTCCCCGGGCAAGAACACGTACAGTCTTCAGTAGCTGATAGACTGGTTCCCATTCACCCAATATTTGAAGTCAAGGGAACAGAGGAAAATTATTGTACATGTCCATTCTTACCTGAGAGAAACTTAAGGGACTAAGCAAGGACCTCATCTGTTTCACATGCCTTGGAATTCAGGTAGGAAAGCAGCAGATTGCTCATAAAAGCTACAAGGAAGGCTGCTGTAAACTAACACCTGAGGCAAGAGATCAATGGCCGGAGATGGGCGAACTACAGACACAACAAACACAAGAGACCAGCTAGGCCCAGAGATGTTGGTGAGATACTTTAGGAA